CTATCCGTCTGTCTGTCTGTCTATCTGTCTATCTGTCTATCTGTCTGTCTGTCTGTCTGTCTGTATATCTATCCATCTATCCGTCTTGTCTGTCTGTCTGTATATCTATCCATCTGTCTGTCTGTCTGTGTGTATATCTATCCATCTATCTATCTATCTGTCTGTCTGTCTGTATATCTATCCATCTAACCGTCTGTCCGTCTGTCTGTCTGTCTGTATATCTATCTGTCTATCTGTCTGTCTGTCTGTCTATATATCTATCGATCTATCCATCTGTCTGTCTGTCTGTCTGTATATCTGTATATCTATCTATCCGTCTGTCTGTCTGTCTGTCTGTATATCTATCCATCTATCTGTCTGTCTGTCTGTATATCTATCCATCTATCTATCTATCTGTCTGTCTGTCTGTATATCTATCCATCTAACCGTCTGTCCGTCTGTCTGTCTGTCTGTATATCTATCTGTCTATCTGTCTGTCTGTCTGTCTATATATCTATCCATCTATCCATCTGTCTGTCTATCTATCTATCTATCTATCTATCTGTCTGTCTGTCTTTCTATCTATCTATCTATCTATCTATCTGTCTGTCTGTCTGTCTGTCTGTCTATCTGTCTATCTGTCTGTCTGTCTATGAAGAGTTCATTTGCAAAAACAGATAACTCCGTTTTTTAACAATTTTCAAAAATCATGTTTTTTTCATTGTGCATTCCAATTAATTCCAAACAAACTGCAGTTGGGATACTTTGATTAGGTTAAAAAAATAAATAAATAAAAATACAGCTAACTAACAAAATAAAATGCAATAAAAACATGATAAGATCATTAAAAACGTGATTTTTGAAAATTAAAAAAAAAAACTGAGTTATCTGCTTTTGCAAATAAACTCTTCATATGTAAACAAAAACTACTAAAAATGAAAAAAATGCAACAAAATTATAAAAATTCTTAAAAAGGGAAAATGTAAAAAAAAAAAATGATTCAAAATATTAATAAAACTATTATAGTATCAGTGATACTAAAATTATGCTAGTCAGTTATTCTTAACATTTTGAATTATAAATTGTATTTGAACAACAAATTAATTTGTGATTATTTTCAAAAAGCACTTGTAAGTACTTATAATAACTATATATGTAATTTAATAAAAATGCACAACTATACAGCAATGTTGAATTTCAGCCCAGTCATTGTTAATGCACTGCATTATTGTTTTTTCAATTAGTTTAATTCAACATGCTTTTTGTTTCAGAAAGATTTCTTATTATTTTACTTCGTGCTGTGGATAACAGACCACCATCTGAGAAGGTCTTTGCTTTTTAAGGGTTCACACATACAGTGGGTACGGAAAGTATTCAGACCCCCTTAAATTTTTCACTCTTTGTTATATTGCAGCCATTTGCTAAAATCATTTAAGTTAATTTAATGGCTGCAATATAACAAAGAGTGAAAAATTTAAGGGGGTCTGAATACTTTCCGTACCCACTGTATATGGCAAAATTCACACGACTCGCTCTCAAACCCCGAAACACAAAAAGGCAACGGTCATTAAAAACTAAATTATGATGACAGACATCTTGAGTAGCATTATAACTGGACTGAAAAATGAACTAGCGAGACCACGATGGAGTTGACTTCTGTTTTCGTTATAATGAATCGCATTAAACTGATAGTATGCGTAGTATGAAGAACTCATAACCATGTAATGATCTTAGCGTCTCTCACTGTCTCTTGCAGGACTTCAAAGAGCAGGTCATTCATCACGTGGCCACCATCATGTTGATCAGCTTCTCCTGGTGTGTTAATTACATCAGAGCGGGAACGCTCATCATGTTCATGCATGATTCAGCCGACTATCTGCTCGAGGTGAGGAATCTAAGGCTCTTAGGTCAAACGTATTTTATTAAGCATATGCTAAAATGTGACCCTGGAGCACAAAAGCAGTCTTAAGTCGCTGGGGTATATTTGTAGCAATAGCCAAAAATACACTGTATGGGTCAAAATTATCTATTTTTCTTTTATGCCAAAAATCATTAGGATATTAAGTAAAGATCATGTTCCATGAAGATATTTTGTAAATTTCCTACCATAAATATATCAAAACTTAATTTTTGATTAGTAATATGCATTGCTAAGAACTTCATTTGAACAACTTTAAAGATGATTTTCTCAATATTTAGATTTTTTTTGCATCCTCAGATTCCAGATTTTCATATAGTTGTATCTCAGCCAAATATTGTCCTATCCTAACAAAACCATACATCAATGGAAAGCTTATTTATTCAGCTTTCAGAACAAATTGACCCTTATGACTGGTTTTGTGCTCCAGGGTCACATATATGCACTTAAAGTATGAACTTCACTGGAAAGAACTGTGTAAAATTGTGGGATACAGTATTCACAGCATGTTTTGGCACATGTGGTAGATCATCTGGGTATTTTATGCATGCAGAAAATGTGTACTTTATACACTACTGATTAAAAACTAAATTATTTTTTAAAGAAATTAATACTTTTATTCAGCAAGGATGCATTAAATTTATCAAAAGTGACAGTAAAGGCATTTATAATGTTACAAAAGATTTCTGTTTCAAATAAACTTTCTATTCATCTGTGAATCCTGAAAAATAAAATATATCACAGTTTCCACAAAAATATTGTGCAGCACGACTGTTTTCAACACTGATAATAATCAGAAATGTTTGTTGAGCAGCAAATCAGCATATTAGAATGATTTCTGAAGATCATGTGACACTGAAGACTAGAGTAATGATGATGAAAATACAGCTGCGCATCACAGAAATAAATTACATTTTAACAGATATTCACATAGAAAACAGCTGTTTTACATTGTAATAATATTTCAGATTTTTCCATAGTTTTAATCAAATAAATACAGCCTTGATACTTTTTATAAACATTAAAAATCATACCAAGGTACATTATTCTGCAGAAATCGAAAGAAACTCATCCTCCCGATCATTTATCTTCATGTTGCCCTTGACAGTGTTAAAAACTAGCTGAACTCATGTCCCTAATTTCTTTGAAAACTTTTAGGTGCATACCTTTAAAAATGGAAACGGTCACAAACTCCTCTATTATCATAACATTAGGGAATGTGAGCAGCATTAGCCCTAAAAGCCAGCAGAAATGCACACTTCAGGATAATAATACACCATGCAGTCCTATGCTGTAGAGTACAGATGATGTGAATCCGGATGCAACCTGAGAACTCGTGATGTATATCAGCAGAAAGAAGCATTCCCTCTTGTGTACACATCAGTCTCTTCCCCTCATATCATCTCTCTCTCTCTCTCTCTCTCTCTCTCTCAGTCAGCTAAGATGTTTAACTACGCCCGATGGAAGAACGCATGCAACTACATCTTCATCCTGTTTGCTGCGATCTTCATCGTCACTCGCCTCATCATCTTCCCTTTCCGGTACACAGCTCATCCGTCTCTCTCTGTGTTTCTCTCCACACACATGCTGTCATCAAACATGCCATGATTGACGTGATTATGATACAGTCGTGGTGTGTTTCTATGGATATAAGCATGATTATACATGTGCACAAGTAAAACAAGGCACTGAACTGTTTGATTGAGAAGAACTGAACTGTGTGAGAGTGTGTGATACTGTATAATGTTATAGGGTTTGGAGGGTCGTATCATTCATGTGTTTCTGTCTGTCTCTCAGGATCATGTATTGCACATGGGTGTATCCCGTGACCCTGTACCCTCCGTTCTTCGGATATTACTTCTTTAACGGGCTGCTGATGGTTCTGCTGTGTCTGCACATCTTCTGGGCCGCGCTGATCATACGCTTGGCCTTCCGCTTCTTGAGCAGTAACGTACGTCTGCATGGTTTCATATTTACATTTACACCTAGTTTTATCGGTAACACTTTATAATAAGGTCCAAGTATTTGAAGGAGCAGCTCCTGAACGTGAAAATATGCCTGAAATGTGCTCACCCTCTGGTCATATGAGATGTAGATGAGTTTGTTTCTTCATCAGATGTGGAGAAATGCAGCATTGCGTCACTTGCTCCTCTGTTAGTGAATGGGTGCCGTCAGAATGAGAGTCCAAACAGCTGATAAAAACATCACAAGTAATCCACAGCACTCCAGTCCATCAGTTAACATCTTGTGAAGACAAAAGCAGCTGAAACAAATCCATCATTAAGACCTTTTTAACTAAAATACAAGTCTATAATTCATAATAACGCTTCCTCCGGTGAAAAAGTGGTCTGGTGAGAGACAACAGGAGATGGACTTTTTCACTGGAGGAGGCGTTGTTATGGGTTGTGGACTTGTATTTTAGCATCAGAAGCAACAGTTTGAAGAGTGGTGTGATTATTGTGATGTTTTTATCAGCTGTTTGGACTCTCATTCTGACGGCACCCATTCACTGCAGAGGAGCAAGTGGCGCAATGCTGCATTTCTCCAAACCTGATGAAGAAACAAAAAGGACATTTTGAGCATCTTTTCATTTTCGAGTCGTCTATTCCTTTAAGTGCATATAGCTCACGAGTCACGATACTTGAATGAATTTTTTTGGAAGCTTGAGCTTTGTGAAAATCATTTTTTTGAATATCACACCTGTATTTGTTCTCTGGAAGATAAACAGTCACACAGGTTTGGAACGGCATGAGGGTGAGTAAAGATGACAGATTTTTGGGTGAACTATCCCATTGTCTTTGTGAATACGTTCTCTCCTGACGCTGTCATTCTTTCCCAACAGTCGTCGGTAGAAGACGAGAGGTCCGATCGAGAGGAGACGGACGAGTCAGAGGAGGAAGAACAGATGAGAAACGGAGAGATAAAGAAAAATGGACCCATTCAGAACGGCCACGCTACATATAACAACAACCACTCTAAAACAGAGTGACGTCCCGAGAGAAACCCAAAGAGATTCTTCCTCTCCTGAAGCAGAGCAGAGACGAACACACACACATACAGTAACAGTCATCACACGAACACCTCTATCTGGAGGGACGAACAGAGAGCAGTGCTGCCTCTATTGACATAAGCTTACAGGAGCAGATCACCTAGAAATCTACATCATTTACTGATGCCTCTCCAAACCTCGGTGAGACTGAACTTTCAACCTGCTCTTCCCCATACAATGAAAATCAATGGTGACCACGACGGTCAAGCCAGATTTGCTGTCTGTTCCTCACACAGATCAGTGCTTGTCTCATATTGCTGCATTTTTTATGCTGCGTCTTTGTGCTTTCTAGAGCTTGAAATCCTTTAATTTCATTGTATGGTAGACAGCTATGGAAGCCAATGGAATACATGAATAAAAGGTAATTGTGACATTGTATCTCACAATTCAGACTTTGTTTCTCGCAATTCTGAGAAAAACAGAATTCCAAAATATAAAACTCAGAATTCCACGCAATTCCAGAGTTTATGTCCCATAATTCTGAGTTTACATCTCGCAATAATTATGGGATGTAAACTCAGAATTGCAAGAAAAAAGTCAGAATTATGAGATAAAAAGTCGCAGTTACATTTTTTTTGTGTATTTTTACATTCCCTGGCGGAATCAGGCTTCCATAGAGAGCAGCTCTGACATTATGCGAAACTCTAAGGAAAAAAGTCATATGCGTAAATGATGACAGAATTATTTTAGGTGACCTGTGCCTTTTAAAAGTGCCTTCCTTTGCCATTGTTTGCTCTTTTTCATGCCTTGTTTTTAGTTTTTAATTTAAGAAACTGCAGAAACTCTTTCCACAGAGTATAACCATTCATCAATAATACCGAACACATGTGAGTACCAAGTACATCAGTTTGGTCTTAAAGTGCGGTCACAATTCACTGGCAAAAAAGTTCATAGTCTATTGTCAGTAGTGTAGCGATGTATGAAGAACATCTCGCACAGAAGTCACTTCCAAACCAAACAGATTACGCGAGATGGTCAAGCGCATTCAATGCATTTTCACTCATGGAATAAAAAAATCATGGCGGCTGGCAGTAAATAATGCATTTCTGCAATGGCATTGGTTACTAGAAAAGTTTTGTTTTGTATGATGCTGCATCCCTGACTCTGAAGTGTCAGGACGATCAGACAGAGCACCAAAGAAGTCACTGAGTGCATCTTATAATATGGCCGAATGTTACTAACTTTCTAACGCAAAGGAAAAAACATGCACTTCACTGCCAGTTCTCCTTCCATTCAGTTTATGAATATGATATTTAACCCATATTTTACTCTAAAGCTCCTAACTATGAACGACACGTATTGGCCAGTTGTAGCTCGGTCATTTTCACACCGATTCTAAATATATGAACACCTTGCTTTCTTCCGTCTCGAGCAGCTGAGATGAATTCGGCTCTTCTCATTTCTCTGAGGTGCAGGTTTTTCTCTCTCAAAGCGGCCAGTGCTGTCTACATTCATGATTCAATCCCACAGCTGCTTCATCTGAATCCACTCGTTCACATCGCATTTCTGTGTCCTGCTCGGATTTCATCATTCCTCCCATGGTCCTTCGTCAACTTCCCATCATTCTCTTCTGTACATTCAGATGCAGTCCACTCAGTTACAGTGTTATCTTTATTTTGTATTTTCCTGTGTTTTGTAATATGATATTATGGAGGATGTTAACAATAAAATACTGAATGTGAGTCACACTCTGTTCTTTAAACAGCATTATTTTACGTTGTTAGTCTCTTCAAGTAGTGTCAACCACAGCCCTTATTTTATTATAATATATGAATCCAAAATATTATAAAAACCCACAGGAAACTCCTAAAGGACTCCAGGGCTGTCAGATGACTATTTTCTTCTTGGGTCACATAACTACATTTTCTATTTACATACATTGAAGTTAATGGAAACATACATATTAAACATTAGAAATTTAGAGGTTTATAGAATGAGGAAGTAAATAAGTGCCTTTAACTGTATTGAATGTGCACTTGTAGTATGTAGATAATATAATATAATTTAAATAAAAGGCCACTTGAGTACTTAGAGACACTGACTGTTTCTTACACTTAAGTACACTTTTAAAAAATGCACTGTAATAATATCAATTATAAAGTACATTTTAAATCGTTTTGTTTTGATATTTTGATGTGTTTACTAACATACTAAAGAACTTGCTTAAGTTAATCAATTTTAAATGTACTAAATTGCAACTTCATTACATAAATGACATGCAAGTTTCAATAGAAATGACATTGAAGTGTATTTTAGTTTATTATAAATGTGTGTCAGTACTAGGGTTGCAAAATTCCGGGAATTTTCAAGGCTGGAAACTTTCCACGGGAATTGAGGAAAGAAAAAAAAATTGGGAATTTGCAATATTGCCTATATTTAGCCTGTAACAGGGAACTTAAATATAGATGAAAAAATTTTTCAAATTTTGTTGAATTATCAATTGAATCGATGTTTAAATTATCTTAACTGCTTCAAAATACATGCTGTTAATGAAATCCTTGTTAAATCATTTAGTTACTGTACGAATAAAAATAGTACTATATAGCTAACACATCATAATTAGGGTTGCAAAATTCCGGGAATTTTCAAGACTGGAAACTTTCCTTGGGAATTAACGGGAATTTATGGGAATTAACAGGAATTAATGGGAATAAACTGGAAATTTGCAAAATTGCTGGAACTGGGGACTTAAATGTAGTTGAAAAAAAATCTTGCAGCATAATCTTGGTTAAAACAACCAGATTTAATGCATTTCAGTTGAAATTCTACTCAATCACATGCACAATGCACAGATCATTTCTTGAATCCTGCACACAAAAAATAATGTCCATGTGTTCATGTAAATTACATAAATATTACATAAAACTGGACAATTTTGTGCTGTGTGTGTATTGTGCTGCAACAAAATTATACCATTGTAAAAACAAATACTCATTTAGGTGAGATAATTAAAAAAAAATACTGTCTAAGAAAGACTCCCCACAAACACACAGTCCCCCTTAGTCACTATACTGAAGCCACACTGTAAAAAATGACCGTGAATTTAACGGTAAAAGACTGTAAACATGCTACAGTAACAAAGCTACAAAACAGATTTCAGTACTTCAATAGGTTGGTATATTAACATTATATCAGTTAATGAAATTATGGTATTTTACTGTAAATTTAAGTTAAAACCTAAAACGTCGCTACCATCTTTTTTACGGTAAAATTCCGGCAACCACAGCTGCTGTTTTTTTACCGTAAATTTTACTGATTTTTTTCTACAGTACACTTAAAGCTGCTTTTGATTCTGCATTAATTCAAGTAAGTTTGATATTACTTGGGTAAATATATGTTTAACTAGCAAATACCAAAATGTGTTTATACAGTAGCAAGCCAGCCAGTAAATCAGATATGCTTAAGCTAGTAAGTGAGTTCATTGACAATTTATGAGGCTATAGGTATCATGTGCTGACTAGCTCAAGCTGTGATGCTCTTTCTTCTACATTCTGATAGCCATGGCGCTTTTCTGAATGATCAGTTTACAGAAAGACAGAGAGGTCCTCACACAAAGTTTACTTTGACATTGAATGGTATCTATTAGAGATCAGCTCCTAGCCAACCCTGCTCGCACACGTTGGTCTGGGGACACTGATATACAAATGCAATGCTGAGAGAGTTTTTGGCCACGAATGCTGTTAACCTTCAGTTCCTGCAGTCTATCACGTACACACAGAACACACAGAGATACATCATATGAGAGAATATTGATTAAATCTATTCTACCAACACAATTTATGCTTTACAATAATCAATGCTCTTATATCTCCCACTATGTTTTTTTAAATAATATTGGTTGTTGTTTAAAACATTTAAAGGTAAAAAAAATATATTTTTCAGGCTTTTTCAGGTAAATTGGGACACTGCGTCTGGTAAAGTGGGACACACATTTTTATCTAGTCTGTGCTTACAAAATACAATTTCATATAGAATGCATTTTGTTTTGTTATGGAAATTTGTATTATTTGGTATCTTAGAGAAAAGCACAGTAATGTTTACATGATAAATCTTTTTTTGCAAAAGTTCATATTCACAAATATAAGTTCTCCTGCAAAAAAAATTGCTTTTTTCTTTTAGGAAAGAAATGGAGCATTATATTGATTCTTTCTTTCTTTGAAAGAAAAAGCTGTGAAAGTTTGTAAACACTTTAATATATAAATTTGTATTTGTAGACATCCCCTCTAGTGCATAATCTTGTATAATGTTTGTCATATACATGTAACCTATTCTTGTTAATAATAATAAAAATACATAGAAAGATGTACTTACGTTCTACTTAATTGGGTCTAAATTAACTATTATTCATCTTCATTAAATTGCAAATAACATACAATTAAGTGTCCGCAAACATTGCATTCAGTTCGCACTTAAGTATATTTCCGTAATAAGTCTAAGTCTAAGTATGTTAAAGAGTATAATTCTTTTTAACAACTCTGTCGTCTGGCTGTGTTCACGTTGTAGGACGTTAAAAATGACGGAAACTGTCCAAGTGTAGTGCACTTGTACAGATGCCGCCTGCGCAGTGTGTAGGGAGCAGTGAGCACTGCGTAGGGACGCTGTGAAGTTTCAGTGAATGTCACGTGATCTGCAAAGGCTACTCCGAGTGTACTTATGAAATATGATTGATAATTTGTACTTTCTTAATGCAAGTTCCTGTCTTATTCCGCATGATTTATCGGTGCACGTTTAATCAAAATAACAAATAAAAAAATGTAGATCTCATAAAAATATAATTCTTATGTCTTCTCTTATATTTTAACCCCTTCCGACCAACGAGCTCTCCCTGCAACAGATGGCAGATATAATTGCATGAATAATGATAATAGCTTTCCGGGAAAATAATAAATTAAAGGATTTACAATAAACATTTAGTAGCTACCTTATTACAAAAATCTCATAATCATATAATTCAAACCAATCCAGTATTCAGTACTGAAAACACCCCAGGAAGATTAAATGGTGTTTAAAAAAAACCCATCAACATCATATATATTAACTATAACTGTCAGAATAAAACTTTTTAAAATACTATAGGTAACGTTATATGTTAAATGCGTGTCGTTGTGTAGGTTGTATTTTTCCATATTTTGGATACTACTACTTCTACTGCTTTACTACATTATAATTTTAATTCAGTTTCAGCGTACATTTTTTGATCATTTTTATTGTACCGATTGCTTACATATAATAAATAATCATCATAAAATAATGGTAAAATAATAACAAAACACACGAAAAATTAATAACAACATTTAATAATAATAATAATAATAATAATAATAAAATGCACGAAACTGAAGAAGAAATGACCGTCTCTGGGCTCGTTTGTTCCAGTAGTGCTGGCCGCGGACGCAGAGTGGCGCGGCTGATCCGCGTGGAGCCTCTAGTTTCCTCCTCTGACGCGCTTCTGCTGCTGACTGAAAGATTACGGGCGCCATCTTGGATCAGGGGAGGCTTTTAAACGGGAAAAAGTCAAAGAGGCAGGAAAGAAAACAACAACAACCGTAAAACATCGGCAAACCCGTTCGTCCGGACCGGCGGCGAAAATGACACTCGGTCTGAAGTCATGACATCTGCTTTAAAGTACTTTTTAGAGACTCGGACGAAGTAAAGCAGCAACAACCGCTGGAGCAGGAGGTTTTCCTCGTCAGCTGGGAAAGTTGTTTTGTATGTGTTAGCTCGCACAAGAACACCTTTACCTGTCGGACATGACATCAGCCAATTCAGGTATCGTATAAAAACCGAATGTTATCCTCTTAATCGTCTGGTTTGTGTTGATGTTGCTCATTGTACGCAGTTGTGCTAGTTAGCTTGAGCTGCTGCTAGCTCAGCTGTTGTGATATAGCGCTAGCCTGCTAGCTCACGGAGGAAGAACTGGACAAATACAGTGTCCGTTTGCTGTGAGAAAGCGTGAGGGTTTGTGAGTGCTTCAGCTGTCTTTGGCTTAATCACAGGCCCAAGCAACATCCACATGTCCTCAGACGACGCTCATCCAGGTCTGAAGAAGATCTGATCCAGTTCAGCATCAGACCGCTGTCTCTCTCTCTCTCTCTCGTCTCAAATCTAAATGCTTTTTGTGGATGCATTTGATTCTGACACGGGCTTTATGCAGGTTTATACACTCACAGACTTGAAAGAGACACATTCAAGCCATCGTATTTAGTAGATGCATGTTCAAACCGAGCTGTCGTGATGGGTTAGCTATGTTATGAATGTATTATTTCCATAGTCTGATAACAGTATGTAAAGCCAGAGCTGGTTTACATGTAATCTGGATTAAGTAAAGAGATTCCAAAAGTTAAGTACTTGTAATTAGATTAAATTACATTTTAAAATACTCAGAATCAGACTACGGTTACTGTTTTATCGATTGCATGATTACATATTATTCACACAATGGCAATACATTATTCATAATTTATGGATTCTCCCTAATTCCTCTTTTTCATCTTTTAAAAGTGCCTTGCTAAAATATCCTAGCGCTTATATACATTCAGAAAGTCCTCCAGTGTTGTGGGCATTCACACAGAGATCAGTCATTAGTCATGTGGCTATAATTACTCAGAAAGCTCAGCATGAACACATTCATTTGTAGTTGAATTATCACTCAGTAGGTTATGTAATGTAGTATAGTGTGTTTGGAAGGCTTTTTTTTATTTCAAACACATTAAAATGCACAAATTCACGTTATTTCTTATTTGCATGTTATACAGGCATTCCCAAACATTTTTTTTTTGTCATCTGAGCCTCTTTCACCTAATATATTTACTTATTTATTAAAATAATTCATTTTAAAATCTACTTTAAGTATCACATGTGCATGTTCACAGTTAGTGGTCACATGACATGCAGGTAAACAAATAAAGCGCTTACATTTTTTACTAAGTGTTTTATTTTGGTTGATGGTATTTTAAAATGATTTGTTTGCATTTTACATTTTTATGATTTAATTATTTGCTTTTCAGTAAACTCACGAAACCCGAGTTCATTTATGAGCCGCAGTTCGGTTGACGAAATGTAATGTAATGTAAAAATAATGCACTTCATGTCGTCAATAACAGCAAATGGAATATTTTTTTTTTTTCTGAATTCTTATATTGATATGGTACAATATTATCCTGTTTTATTTTTCCATGTTTGCAGCCGTCTCACTAAAATGTGGAAGATGTCTAAATATGGAATCTGTTTAATGTAAAGTTTATGTTCTAGATTAAATTAAAATTACCAAATCTAAACAAGTTAATTAAAAAAAATCTCAATAAGTAACAGGGCTTTGCTTATAAATAAGTCAATTTCCACAATTCACATTGTTCCAGAACTGCTTTACAGAAATTCATATTGTTAATGTTTATAGTGTATTTTTGCACGTGTGTGTTATTTTCTACATGTAATTAAATAAACCAAATCTCACCCGGTAGGGTCTACTTAGGTTTGGTCCAAATGCTGGTTTATATTTATTGATTATGTTTGTATTAAAGATATGCAGCATTATAGTGTGTGCAAAATGTACTGGATATCACACATTTAAGGAATATTTTCATTTAATTATTCTTTTTTTATGCAGGACACAAGAATGTGGGACACGGCTAATTATATTTTTGATCATTATTATTATGGCAAATTACAGAGAAGTTCAAAAGAAGAGTATTTATTCGAAATATTTGTAACATTTTAAATGTCTTTCAATTATGAATGACTTTCCTTCAGAATCTAGATATAATGGTGATATGTTATCGCAAACAATATTTACTGAAATGCTTGATGAATAGAAAGTTCAAAAGAACATTTATTTGTTAAATCAATAAATAATTAAATTGCATAAATTATCATATATATCATATCATATAAAGGCTTTGGAGATTAATGCACAATGCACATAAGCAATTTTACTGGTGATAATTTGATATCATCTAAACTAAGCATTGTGCTGCAAAACTGCAGAGTGCATTTCTTTAGCATCTCTCTCTCTCTCTCTCTATATGGGTCAAAGATGAAAAAAGGGATTAAGCATAAAAACAATAAGTGTAATACTGCTTTAAATTGTTGTTTTTCCCCCATAAAATGTAAAAAAAAAAAATTCTGTTTAATTTAATTGCAATTTTGTTTTTCTGAGCAAAAAATAAATAAGTATCATACATTTTTTTTTGCATATTTACATCAAAAATCAATTTATGACATATTAAAAGACTAATTACTTTCACCCCAAATACTAATTAGTTGTAATTTTACATTTTTTAAATTTGCAATGGGTGTTGCCCATTTGTCAGTAAGAATTTTTTACTAATTTAAAACCCATTAAAATGTAATATGCTCACTTATTATTTTATATATTTTAATATGTACACGTCAGAATAAGCATATTGTTTGAATTTTTACATAAATATTGTGTTACACTGAATGACAACGTAACATTATTTCAACCAAATTTTGACATTTTATTTTCCAAAAACTTATTTGAAACCTTAAAAGTAGACACTTTACTTACATTCAATGTGCTTTCTATGGACATATAATCACTTTTGTAAATTTCTTTTGATGCGGACAACTTAATGTCTTTGACCCATGTACATATATATATATGTGTATAAATATACTGTGTGTGTAGTCATTAGTGGTGAGTGTTTGATTGGATGTGTGTGTGTTTCAGATATACCTGAGGTGCCGTCACTGGCCACAGCAGCTGGATCTCTTTCTAACAGTGTTGTGCCGAAGGCCAACAACAAACGACAAGCCACGTAAGTCTGACCGAGCCGTCTACACGACAGATTTAACAGTACCAATCATCAGTGCTGAAATGCTTCTGGCAGCGTTCAGTTGATCTCGTTGGTCAAAACATGGTTCTGTCGTCTTTTCACTTTGCTGTGTTCTGTGGAGCTCAGAAGGAAATGTTTTGGAAAATGTGCAAACTGATTTTTCCATGAAGTGGAATTACATGAGCACTGGTTTAAAAGACCATTCATATTAAGTAATATTATCAGTGTGACCGCATTGACACTGCCAGATGAATAATGACACTATTGTCTTCTGTAGAGCTGCTTTACGGCTGAAATTGAATTTGTTTCATAAGTGATGCATTTTGCAACATTATAGCACTGTTATGTCCTGCTTGAAACCATCCGTGTTGGATAAAGTGCTATAAATTAATGACTTGACTGACACTTTCAAGCTCCACAAAGGACAAAAAAACCACCATAATTGTACAGAATGTTCCTAATATGAAGTTTATGACACTTGCTTTGTGTCATTTTTGGAGCTCGACAGCGTTGAACATTTGTCCTGATGTCTCCTTTTGGGTTACACAGAAGAAAGGAGGTCACAGGGGTTTGGATGATGACAGAACGCTCCTTTTTGGGTGAACTGTCCCTAAATGCACACCATGAGTGTGACCGGAGAGCTGAATGTGGTTTTGCCAAGTGTGGCTTTCCAGAGGCAAATTCACAGGAGCGACACTTTGGTTTTGGCCAACAATAGTGTGCTTGTTTATTGAGTGTATGTGGCTGATTTGATCCAAGTGGGTGGAGAAATGCGGGAATGTTTGAATGTTGCTGTTGTGCAATATTACTGACTAATGTGAATTTCCCTGGTTTCCAGCTCGGACTATGACGACGACGAGGGAAGCAAATTGTTCAGGTTAGTCATGACGTGTGACTGGAGGGTTTGAACTGTGACGAGCTGCCTGTCTTATGACTGTGCTCATCAACGTGTCCTCCTTTGTTTTGTTTTCTCAGGTGTGATGATGATGATGATGGAGGCGGATCGAATGACAAGGAGAAATTTGCCAGGTATTGAATGATGGAAATCAGAATGCATGAAAAGTATAAATATGATCATCTGATCTTCTGTAAGTTCTCAAGTATCAGAGTTGACCGGTGTTTCCTACATATGCTGGCATCATGGTATTCATAGTGAAGTTTCCAAACACACTTCCCGTCTTCCATAGCTTGGATGAACAGACAGTCCTGACTAGGGGTGTGCGATATATATCGTCTGCGATAATATCGTAGTTGTTGTTTTAACGATGTGCGATTTGACATTATCGAGTATTTTGAAAAAAATTCAAAACATCCCTACAGAGCGCACGCATACATTACGTGAAGTCTAGACTAGTGCGTGTGCGCATTTAGTGTGTTTTCTTTCACTGCATGATTCAGGCTATTAAAATGCATTTAGAATGATCACAAATTTAAGACATGATGGCAGAAAATTTATATATTTATACCACTTCATATAGTTACTCAATTTCACACGAAGAGTGCCGTTTTTCTCCAAAAATTACCATGATTACAAATGTGACATTGAATTCAATAAACAATAAGTTAATTAAGAGACTTACGTTTTAGACACCATATTGCTTGTTTTTGCTCTATTTCGCCAACAAAAATCATCCCGAATACAGCCACAGTGCTGTTTTGTGTCTCTGAGCAACATGACGGTGTTTTGTTCCTGAATGAATCGACCGTTTAAATGATTCGGTTCAATCGCAATGACTCACTTATTAACAGTGATTTGCTGCCACCTGCTGGCGGTTTTAATTTCAAATTTCGGCTTTTTCTTTTTTCTTTTCTTTTTTTGTGATTTTTTTCATGTTTTAAATCATTTCAAATAATTAAAAAATTCAACGTTTTATGTTTAATATATCAAAACATTATTTATGCATTTGTAATTGCAGGTTAAATGCATTCATGTCTTGCATTAAACAAAATACATGTGTGTAAATACATCTAAATGCCACTTCAGATGCAGCTTCTGTGTTGATTGAATTTGCTTGGTAAGAGCCCAAATGTCTTATTATTCTAATTCCCTGATTAAATGTAGGAATTTGACTCAAAAGATAATGGACACTTTTAGAAAAAATGGCTTTATAAAGGTAAAAATGCCCATAAAATGCAAAAATCAGTTTAAACTTACTGGAAAAGATTAATTTCTATCAGTATGAACTGACCACCACACACAATATGAAGAATATTAAAAACATTAGGAGTCAGCTGTCTTCGGCAGTCCTTAAGGTACCAGCACAATAACACACTTCGTCTAATTATCGTTATCGATAAAATCCCATAAAATATCGAGATATAATTTTTTGTCAATATCGCACAACCCTAGTCCTGACCCAAACTCATGCCTTTGATTCAGCCAACATTGTTAAATCAACCAATGTTTTTTTTTTTTAACAATATCTTTGTCTTTGCATATTATGTAATCGGATTGGCAAATGTAAAGAAAATTTTACACAGTTGAATGCACAAAAATTGTAAATGCACAGTAACTTTTTATTTCCAGGATGATGGATTCCCTGAATTAAACATGAAATATAATGAGTTAATGTAAAAAATAAATAAATAAAAGTAGCTTACTGCTGTTTGACACATTTAAGGCAAATGTTTTTTCATGCACTGATCAATTTTTCAGAGCCATTCCGATTTCATAACATGTCTTCTTTCAGACTAGTGTAAACATCCAAAAATACACATTTAAGTGTTTATTTTATTACACTTCACCTTTTTGCATTTGATTTCGATTACAATGCATAACTCCACTTCAGCAGCACTTACATGCGTCAAACTTTAGTTTTATTCCCATCTGTATTCTGAAGAGTTTTTTAGAGGGGTTTGTATCATTCCCCTCATTTATATAATATTTAATTGGTAAAAAATATGGTGAAAATATATTTTTAATGGCTGTTGACAGTGTTTTATGATTTATGGAGAGATAAAAAGAGAAATCCGAACTCCCCTCTGTTAAAACCTGTAACACTAATACATCAACAAAATGAAAGGAGTTTGAGCCTGGCTTCATCCGGTGTTCATGTAGTGTCTTGCTTCAAGTCCCTGATATATTTCAAGTGAAACTGAAGTACAAACAGGTTCCTTTTGAACAAAATCTGTCCAAAATGTTTTGGAGCTCATTTCTCGCCAGCACAAACTTTCTTGGAAAACTTTCCACCTTTGAACTGCCATTGATGATTGAACTTTGAACAGACACAAAGTTGTAATCTATTATGTGATTCTGAACACAGCCCGTGTCTTTTGAGCATTTCTTCTACCCCTCTCTTCTTTTCTCAGGCCCTTTGAAGAGGCTTTTTCTTTCAGCTCTCATGAGATTCATACACATTTGTTTGTCACGGAGGGATGAGAGTGTCGTCTCATTTGACGAGCACATTGATGCAGTCTTTATTTGCTTATTCATCCATCTCTCTTTCTTCCTTCTCTCTCGTTGCTTTCTCTCGACCTTTTCTCTGTCCCTGCTCTCTTCTCCCCACGTTTCATGCGCCGCCCATCTCTCATGACCTCCTGACCGCAGGGAGAATCACAGCGAGATCGAGCGCAGGCGGAGGAATAAGATGACCGCTTACATCACGGAGCTGTCAGACATGGTGCCCACCTGCAACGCTCTGGCGCGCAAACCAGACAAGCTCACCATCCTGCGCATGGCTGTGTCGCACATGAAGTCTCTCAGAGGCAGCGGCAGCAGCAGCAGCACCGATGGAGCATATAAACCCTCCTTTCTCACAGACCAGGTCAGATATGAACTGCACGGATTACAGAAATGTATTGATTCCTCTTTGCACATAAACCAGGGCCCAGATTCATCAAACATTGTTAAGAATTAAATTCTTCTTAAAGGCACAATATGTAAGATTTTTTTATTTATAAAATATCAAAAAACCACTAGAAGAGTGTTATATATTTTGCTGACTTGTGTACTTACATTATCCCAGAT